GTGAATTTTTTTAGTCATAAATATTAAAATATATTTGTTGAATTCAAATTTGTCTGGTAAAACGTGTGCAATGAATAGAAGGTCAAATTGAGAGGGAGAGAGAGAGGGAGAGAGAGAGAAAGGGAAGATAGGAGAAAGGCTTGCCTCTCGGGGTGAATATGGATATTTCCGGGCTTGTTGACTCATTTTATTCATTTACAAATAGATGCTACGAATGGGGTGAGTCAAAATGGGTCATTTAAATGAAAAAGCTCTCATATTTATATATGATAGAAGAGCCAAAATGTAAGCTACGATATTACCCTTATTTTAATAAAAGATATTTTAGTCTTTTGTGTTAGTGTGTTCGTCGACCGCTGGATCTGTAATTCTGGGAATTTTCTATCTGACAAAAAGTCGGGTTCTGATGGTCTGTAAGAGGAAAAGTCTTTCGACAGAGGGAAAAGTTAGCTCCTGTAGGGAGAAGACCGCTGTTGGAGGAAAAAGTCCTCTACCGAGGAAAAGTCGACTGTAGAAAGTCAATTTGACGGAAGCAGATTACAATTTGCCTGAAGATTTGTGCACACCATTCTTCAATATACATATTAAGTTACACAATTTTCTTGCTTCTTAATAGCAACAACTTCAATAAAAATAAGAAATATTATAAATCAAATAAGTTATGAACATATAATTTGCTAATGATACTCCCTGCTAGATGCTTTTGTGCTCGATTTTGGTATCATAATTGTTGTACACCACAAAAAAATTTTCATCATCCAACACGAATTTCGAGGCATGACACGAATCTCGAGATGATATTTTAAGCAATAAACATTCAAATCTTGATAAAAAATCATTCAGAGCTCCGATTTCAGCAAACTTATAGTCTAACTGACTCGTTTAATGAGACAGACCTAATGATATGAAAACTAGCCCAATCCAAGTCAAATCAAGCCCAAATCAAGTCATTAAACCACAATTAGAAGATTTAAAAATACATTTCGAAAGTCAAATGACTGTCAAATATGACAAATTTATACTCAAATCTAGCGGCTAGACAAGGCAAACCCAACGTAGACAAGATGAATCCAACGAGCCCAATATCACTCAATTCTGACATCATTAAGGCACTCAAATGTCCATTAAACACCGTATGACCAAGGAAAGCTCTCCGGACCGTCTGATCAAAATGGTACGTGTTGCTGCAATAATTACACTAGAACAATATAAATAGAGCTTCATCCCTCTCATAAGAGAGGAGGAAGTCTAGAGAGAGCCCGATTTCTTGAGGAGAAGTTGCATGTCACCTCTCAAAAGAGCTCTTAAGGGTGGTGGGCAGCCCGAGATTTAAATAGTGCTTTTCGGCGCTGCACTTAGCTGATGTGGGACTTTTTGTCCGTGACATTTTCTTCGACCCAATCACCCAATCACGTGACACCCTCGTCACGGATCGACTCTACCGATGGTCCCACTAGACCATGGATATTCCACACACATGACAGACATTTATTTGTTCTGATACCACTTGTCACCTCCGAAAAGAGCTCTTAAGAGAGGTGGACAGCCCATGATTTAAATACTGCTTTTCGGTCTGATGCCTAGCCGAAGTGGGACTTTTTGTCCGTGACATTCTCCTCCACCCAATCACGTGGCGCCCTTGTCACGGATCGGTTCAACCGAGGGTCCCACTTAATCATGGAGAGTCCACACACCTGACAGGCAGTAATCTGCTCTGATACCACTTGTCACATTCTAAAAGAGCTCTTAGAGGTGGTGGGCAGCCCAAGATTTAAATAGTGCTTTTCAGCGCTGCACCTAACTGATGTTGGACTTTTTTGTCCATGACTTCATCATTAGTTATAAGTGATGCAATCCAACCATAATATTTAAGAGATCTAAAAATGCCCCATTAAGGTCCTTGCAATATTGTTTCATTGAACTATTTCTCTCACCCAAAGAGGAGATTGCATGTTAACAATCAAATGGCCATCATAAAGCATAATTAAGCATGCTAATTGCTAACTAATATTTGAAGTATTCATCAATAACAAAATATTTTAAAATTAGTAAATATATTAATATTTCATAATTTCAAGATAAACTTAACCTAAGAGTTTTTTACTTTTGTCACTCCCTCTTTATGAGAAAAAATTAATAAAAAATCTTTGGGCTAAAATACAAAAAACAATTGCAATTAATGGTTTAAAATTTCAAATCTATTCTTTAAGCAACCATTAAAAAAGAAATAACAATGCTACAATTTTTTTTTTAAATGTTCGTAGTAGAAAAATACTTGTTAGAATTTGAGTTGATTGAAACGATTAAAATAAAATATAGGATCCAACTTACATCTTAACTAGACCTGGGTATTGAACCAGTGGCTCAACGAGCTTGCCATAAACCCGCTTATAATGGGCGATCTTAATTATGAAAAATAGAAATTTAATTGGCTCGGCCGACCCTAGCCCGTTTGCTTTTCATGGGGGAAAGCTCTAAAATTGCTCGCTTTGGAGTGGTGTCCAGGAGCTGTTCGCTCTAGAGCAGTGTCAAAGCTGTTCGCCCCGGGGTGGAGTCTTGGAGCTCTTCTCCTCAAGGTGGAGTCCTGGAACTGTTCGCCCTAGGGTGGAGACATGGGGCTGGTCTCCGTAGTGTGGAGTCCTGGGGTTGTTCGACATGGAGTGGCGTTGTGGAGCTGTTCGCCTTGGAGTGGTCTCCTGGAGCTGTTTGTTGCGGGGTGGAGTCTTGGAGTTGTTCGCCCTAGAATGGTGTCCTAGATCTATCTGCCATGGAGTGAAGTCCTAGAGTTGTTTGCCCCAAAGTGGTGTCCTAGAGCTGTTCGCCCCGGGATGGAGTCTTGCAGTTGTTTGCCCTAGAGTGGAGTCCTGGAGCTGATCTTCCCGGGGTGGAGTCCTAAAGCTCTATACCCATCACAGAGCTTGTCGTTGTCGAGTTTTAAATTATTAGAAAGGATGAGGACGATCGTTTCACATCCCTCGTGGAGCTTGTCGTTGTCGGGAAATGAGTCATCTTACACCTCTCGAGTAGCTTGTCGTTGTGGGATGTTAGTTTTTTTTTTTCTACCCCCGCAGAGTTGGTCGATGCCGGTTGTTAGATATTTTTCTGCCCATCGTGTACCTTTTTGTTCTCAGCTGTTAGTTTTTGTTTCTTCACCCCTCGCGGAGCTTGCTATTGTAGGATGTTGGATTTTTTTTCATCCCTCGCGGAACTTGTCGGGGTCGTTTGTTAGTTTTTTTTTTTTTTTTTGCATCATCACGAAGCTTGTCGCTGCAATGCATTAGTTTTTTTCCACTTGAAGCTTGTCTTTGCCATATGTTAGATTTTTTTTTTCCAACCCTCATAGAGTTTGTCACTGTCGGGTGTTATGATTTTTTTCCACCCCTCACGGAGCTTGTTGCTCTCTGTTTTATTACCTGAGTTCAAATTTCACAATTGTCGAGTGTCCATCGGCATTCATGAATTTGTTGATCAGCCTGATCTCCCACATCGGAATACAACATTATTGTACTCATAATAAATAACTAGGGAATTAAACTCAAGAGAATTGGGTGATGTGTAAATCTTCCATGATTAAAAATGATCGACCAGAGATAGATGAGCAATCGAAGGCTAGCCTATCAAAGAATCACAAAATAATTTAGCAATGCAAGTATATAAATATATGAGGATTGAGTGTTGTGCACGTAAATTTTGTTTTTTGAAGCGGTCGGCCAGAAGTAGTAACCAATCTATGGGGTAGGCTGGCTTGGGTAGGTTGTTGGTCGACTGGCAGGTGGTCGGTAGGCAAGTAGCCCCTAGATGCAAACATAATTTGAGGTATGTAGATATATGAGTTTGTAGGAATGAAGTGGTATGTATGTTAATTTCCCCTGTTTTGACATGGCTTTTTTTTCCAGGCTGTTGGTTTAGGCAAAATAAAGGCCGCAGGTTTGGTAACTCTGGCGGCAGTCACAATTACATTATTCTTTACTTATCCTTTTTGTTTAATGTCGTTTACAAGGATAATAGGCAGCACTTCTGTGGCCCATGAATAGTATTTTGTAAATTTCAAAATTTATCAAGCCCAATAGTTTGGGCCCAACAAAAGGACCCATTAACCAGTTTAACAGGATCATCAATTCCATAAAGTTACTGAATAATTTGAATTGTACAACTTTTTTTTTTATTTTTACAACTAATTTTTCTTTTATTTTAATGAAAGTTTTGTTAGTGTATATTTTACATCGATTTAATTTATTTTTAAATATTTTTTTTTAATTTTAAAATACTGAAAGAATTATTTAGGTGTTTCAAATATTTTTAAAAAATTTTTAAACATATTTAATTTAAAATTTAGATATAA